CCCGATTGGGCTGTCAATTTCCCGTGCGTAATACAAAATGACTGAAAAACGGCAAACTTCGCAAGGCTATACTATCCGCATTTTACAACATTTCGCAACGAAACTTTGGAATATTACTAATTTTGTGATGCTTTTTCAAGCTGTGATGAAATTTTTGTCCAGATCAAAATTTAGTCTATAATGCAAATGGTCCATTAACTTCCTTGTAAATTTGCATGGTAAGAAATTTTAACACACATTTGCTGGTAACGTCCTTGATGAAGACCCTCAGCATGGACTTAGTCAGAGGCCCATTCACTCGTCATTTAGACGTGTATTTTTTAATGTAGACGGGCAAAAAGATGTTGAAACACCAGTATTTTGTCTTTAGTAATTAATACAAGGCATTACAAGCCTAATTAAATTTTGCTATAACATCACATTCGACAGTCGCTGCACATCCCTGCACATACATTCACAAGGAAACAAGTTACAATTGAAATCCCTATATGTATTAGCGAAATATTTGGTATTTTAAGCTGATTTTAACAATAACTTCAGCCATTATCTTAATAGTGTGGTCAACCATGCTGTTTAGTCTTCAGTTTTCAGTGCAATTTTACACGTGTTCTTTTGACTGCTAAGAATCACGTTTTTAGAAGATCAAGATCTGATCTCAAAATATTATTCCAAGGGAAACATGATGTTTTGGGGGAGGGGGGGGGCGGCGAACTGGCCTAGCACTTTTGAACGTGTACATTGATAATCCCATAGATATAGCTAATCCTGGATAGGTCCCTGCAGCTCAGCGCTCGTTTTCAGGGAGTTCAGATACAAATCTGCACTCTCCACCTTTGAGATACCCATTTGATGAATCTGTCATGTAATGCTTACTTAAAATAGATTCACAATCCCATTGTTCTTTAGGAGTCTCTTGAATTCTTGTAAAGCCCTCGTCTTCACTGCTGGACTTCTTGTCTTCTCGCACATCAAACCTAACTCTTGTCACCTTCACAGCCTCGCTGCCATGTTAAAGAAATAAATATTGCATGCTCATGATGAAATATTTCGAGAATACAAACTTAAGGCACATGCAGAGTTCTATCTTTAAGTAATTGAATATCTCTCTTGTGGTATCGTGATCACCCCGCTTGCCTTTCAAGCATGGTCGGACCTCTACTAAAGATCTAGTTAAAATAATTGAGGAGAAAGTGCTACCTTTACATTGACATCAGTAAATGGTTAGACTTCGTGTCTTCTCGGATAAGGACGTTAAAATCGTAGGTATAGCTCGGATCCCCTATTGCACTTAGGAATAGCTTGTTGGGAAATCCGCTCATGCCAGTGGGTGAGAAACTCGATAAACAATAAACAAAGTAAGGATTTTGTCCATTGCATGGTTCATACCACATGAAGGCTGGTACGTGCATGACTGTACTTTATTAACATACATTGCATCATTAACAATGGTAAACATGCAGCCACATATTTACAAACATGTCAGCTTGTCATGGTGCAGTGGAGAAAGCAATTCAACTTCCACCACATAAAACACAAACAAGCCACGTTTCAAGTGATCAAGCAGTTCACCTTAACACAAGGCAAACGTAATCGACCAAATGAAACAATTTTACTTTTCCACAAGTGTAACGCAATCTAACAACGTGTCAAAGTATAGAATGCTGACTTTCTTGTGGTACAATTGTACTAGGACATTTCAAAACAAAATTTGGCGAGAACAATATATATTTACACTTGTTATGTTGCTGTTGTTTTTAAATTCATCTTGTCGACAAATCTTGAAATTGGCATAATTCCGTTTCGTTTTATATTTTTTTTAAAATAATTAGCCAGACCCACTTTGTATCATTACCTTTCGCCTTTTCCATCATTTATTTCATTTTTTATGCTTTCTAAAAGTGGATCATTTAAACTCCTATTTCCACAGACTTCCTCGTGATCTAGCGCTCCGATCTCATCGTCTTCGTACTCTTCCATTATCTGAACGTATTAAGCAACGATAAATTTCCAGTTATTGGTGGATAATTTACCTATGGCTATGCAAAATTCCTACTGTGATCACAGAAACTTTGATAGTGTAAATCCAGCCTTTAAGATCCACCAACTAATCTAACACTTCATCTTTCTTTAAACCCTGGGGCTGGGCAAACTAGGAAACATTTGCGGTTCTCGATGTTTCCTCAAATGTTTCCCTGTTTGCCCACCCGTGGAAACATTGTTGCGGGAACAAGATTTACTTCCCGAGAAGCAAAAATGTTTCCTAGCGATTTCAGAAACATTTGATGTTTCCCTATGTTTCTCACTAATGTTTCCTAGTGTTTGCCCACTCTGGAAAACATTGGTAGGAAACAATGTTTCCGCAACAATGTTCCCTAGTTTGCCCAGGGCTTTAGAATAAACGCAACATGAACTATCTAAATTACAAAAGAAGCATCTAAAAAGCACGATCAGTACTGCCAATGGTTTATACAGGTAGACAGCTTGTACGCAAGTATTTAAACTAACCTTATCAAATCTATCATCAAGGAGACAAAGTCCTATACACAGAGAAAAGAAAAATTACATTCAGAATTTCTTTTTGCAGCGACGAAGTGGGATTTCCCGTTAACACAGAGAGATACAACACACGCAAAAATCTCACATCTTGTACGTAGCAAGTCTGCCAACAAAACGTCAACAAGTTGTGTTCGCACTGCTTGTCCCAAGTTGTCAACAAGTATGTAACAACTTGTTAACAGTTGTAACAACCTTGTTGATAACAGACTGTCGCAAGGTTGTTTCAACAAGTCTGATGCAGTCATAATATAACAATATTGTTACAACCTTGTGTCATCAACCTTGTAAAATTCTTTTTAATCTTGACTGTATCAGACTTGTCAGAACAACCTTGTAACAAGTCTGATAATGCCATCAAGCTTGTTACAAGTTATTAACAACTTGTTCCAAACTTGTTACAACAACTGGGAACAAGCAGTGCGAACACAACTTGTTGAGATTTTCCCATTAACAAATAACTTTTTAATAGGCTTGTGCTGTATTAAGCAATTATATGAACTGGACATTTTATATGATTTGCCAATAACCTTGAGTGCGTCGTATGACAGAGGACGACATGGAATAATTTGAGAATTTAGATTTCATATCTTCGTCAGAGTCCATATCTTCGTTAGATTTCATATCTCCGTCTGATGGAAAATATTCTTCATCATCATCTCCTTCATATGATAGTTCTTCATCGATGTCACTGAATAAAAGTGAAACCAAAATGTCTAAACTGATAGTTTAACCATTAAGTTGCAGTGAACTGTAATGCACTCCAGTTTATGATTTTACTCTGTCTAATGCCAGATTATTTTACCCTGTCTAACGCCACACGATTGTGCATAGCATTGCGTGAAATTTTAAATTTGGTTTTACACAGAATTTTTTATTTTTGGTCTTTGCTGTCAGGAAGAAAAATATTTATCTAGATTTGTCATTACTGCTGTCCTTATATTTTTTTACTATTCCTTTGGATCTACAGTACCTGTCTTCTTCAAAAGACTCATTAGCCTAATTGGATTAAAATAAAAGAGAAAATTCATGTTAGCAACTATTCTAACAAACAAAAGTATTTTTTTAAATATTTTTACATGTATGTAACACATACTTTTAACATGAAATCATCATCCAGAATATTATCAGGGTCTTCCAAATCAAGTGCGTCATCCAAAGCTGCAACAATGTCTGGATCCCAATCTGGTCGAGGACCCGACACAGGAGCGGCTAGGTTAAGAAGTCCTTCGTCTTCTTCATGACCAGAGGCAAATACCTCGCTCGGTAAGGAAACCTTTCCAAACTATAATGAATTTAAATATCACCATTACTGGCACCATCACATTGGGATCATTATCATCACTATACCATCATCTCCATGCACCATCATTACCATCTCAACCAACATTACCATCATCACTTTCGTCATTGCCACCACCATCATCTATTATCATCACCATCTGATCATTACCATCATAATAATACAAATACTGGAAACTTCAATAGCATGTCTGAATTATAAAATGAACGTGAATTGAACATGCCTTTTTCACGTCAGGTTTCTTTGCTTCAATCACAGTGACATTGCCAGGCAATGGTTCAAGACTTGTGTCCGTTCTTGGTTTCAAATGTTGAAGGTAGTCGTAATCATCTTCGTAAAATACACCAAAGTCTCGCTGCTCTTTTTTACGTTCTTCAACAGTTCCCCTGATGGTAAAGTAAGAATGTAACATATTTCATCAACCATCACTGCTAGCACAGATTCAGAATATTGAAAAGACATTATTTATACGTTTATGCAATGAATATCAAACACTTACTTTTGATAACCAGTTGCCTGTGAAATAAATGAAACAAGAATTTCATCAAATAGAAATAAAAATATGGTTTGGATAAGATTTGCACATTATAATTATACAGTATATATATAGCTGATTGTAGAAGGATTTTGTAGATTGAAATTTCGAGTTTGAATTTTATACATTTGTTATACCTAACCAGGAGCCCATATAGGCCCTCTGGCAGAATCAAACCTCGCCAGTTCATGTATAAATACAAGGTGATGCCAATGTAAGGTACAAAGTCAGAACATTTCAAATATGTTTAAAGTTTGTTCGTTCACTGCAACCAGGTATATCAATCATGTTTCGCTCGCTACCCTGGTTCAAATAAATGATTACAAAGCCCAGTCGAATTGTGTGTGTTCATCAAAGAGGTCTCCACTAGATGAGTGTTCGTTAAGCTAAGAGGTTCGACAATATCTCTAATACCAACCTGGTCTGTGTGACCATGCGATGACTCGCTATACCCCACAGGCAACAACACATGTTTAGAACTGTCTTCGTCAGCTTGTAACGGATCACGCTGACTTCGATGAACCAAACGAAAGCTTACAGCATTCTTCTTATCAATAAACCGTTTTTTCTTGCCCTGGAAATGTGTGGATGTTAGAATGTAGGGGGTAAAATAGCTATGAAACAGCCTTTTGGTAGTGGCCTAAGATTCAATATCAATTTTTATAGGACCAAATAGAGTATTACTATTTAATAACAATGTTGAACATTTGAACCGCATTGTTCTTTCATTAATCCAGTTTTATTCATCCAGTACAGTTTTAATTCATAAACTGGAATATACCAAGACAAAAATAAAACGAGATTGTAAAAGAACAAAGCAGAGCAACAGTTCTATACAGCGCTATAAACATTTAAGGCCATGTGCTCATGTAACTCATCACTCGCCCCTTACCATGTTAAATTTTCTTTTACCGCAAAGAAATCGTCTTTAGGCCATGAAATATTCCTCACATAGTGAGATCAGAGGTGGTATCTCAACTGTAAGTAAGTATCTTCGGCGATCGCTATTTTCCCTTCAAAATTTTCGGCATTTTTGTGGCAATTTGGCCACCATATTTATGTCATGAATTTTAATGCAGTTTACACGCGTCTCTGTCACCTCTCCCCCCGTTAGCTGCATCTGATGGCTACCACTCCCCCCGGTTATGTGATAAAAAGGGCCAAATGTATGCCGGCTTCAAAAATACCAGAACAAAAGTAAATTTCTTCCCAAAAAGTGGCAAAATAAAAGGCCAAGCCCTGGGCTGGAGGAGAGCGTTTTCCTTGACAGGTTTTATTTGCTCGTCTGTGCGGCAAAACGTTAACAATTTTTCCTTGTTTTGCCAAATTATTTTATGGTTTTGGCATATACAAAAGGTGAAAAGGCGGCCTTGGCTTTTAAGAATGCGCAAAATTGATCTACTTAAATATAGTTTTCATGTTTTTGATCAAATTTAATGATACTTCGTTCGTCATGTATAAAGATCAAAACATACATAATGTATAAAGATCAAAAGGATATAAGAATAAGTTAATTATTAATATAATATCCTAGTATCCTGATGACGTGTTAAATATATTTGCGCATAAGGAAATGTGTGTCCTGTCACAGTCGCTAGTTGCAAGGTACTGTTGAATTAAAACTCGAATAAATGGTCTATGTACATGTATTTACGTCAAACTAAGATGAAAGTAATCTCGCCAGTGTAGGTAGCGTCAATAACTAATAAGAACGCTGTGCATTGATAGGGATGCGACTACACACGTAAAAACGCACAAGTTGTAACAAACTTGCAGCAGACTTGTAGCAATGCTGTTCCAACAATTTGTCAACAGGATGTGTTCGCACTGCTTGTTCCCAGCTTGTTGACAACTCAAGTTGTCAACGGCTTGTTGGCAACTTGCTACAAGGTTGGTGAGCTCAACAGACTGGTTACAAGTTCGTCCTGCAATTCAACAATTTGTCAACAAGTTGCGAGTGACAACCTTGTAGCAACCTGATATAAACAGCATTGTTACAACTTGTTGACAAGCTTGATACAAGCATGTTGCGAACACATCTTGTTGACAAGTTGTGAGATTTTTACGTGGCCTAAGGAATTTTACGTGTGTCGTTGCGTCCCTATCAATCCACAGTGTTCCCAAGTTGAAACCAGCCTTACACTCCTTCAGATAATTTCACTTCAACTGCTTCGAACCCAGGATTCTCTTTGCCTTCATCGCCAGCATTTTTCTCGATATCCAGTCTTAACCCCACCTCTTGATCAGGACTGGCCGGAGTGATGACAACAGAAGGCGGTACTGTTTCGCTCACATCAAGATCGACTGCGGGGTTTTCTATCCCTGTTTCGTCACAAGAATTCTCGGAAAGAACTGCGAGATTTTCTATTTCTTGCACTTCGCCAGATTTCTCAGAGTTTTGTTCATCCTCAGAGTCCCGTTCTTGATTCTCACATTCCGTTCGAATATCAGTGTCTCCTACAATAGCTTGCTCTGTCTCTTCGCTACTATTCGTATCATTTTCTTTGCTTTCATTACTTATCAGATTCCTTGTGTCATCATCAGAATTCTTGTCAGTTTCGTTTGTATCTTGATTTATCATCTCTGAATTTCTTTCCGTATCAGAGGAAGATCTATTCTTTCCTAGTGGTTCAGTGTTGTCTTCCTGACGAGTGCAGTTTGAAGAAGATTTCTCATCTGTTCCTGTGAATTCATTCTGTTCTTTTTTTATATCCTCCAGTTGCTGTAGTTTTGTGTTTAATTCTTGTTCAGCATCGCCACCTTCGTCAACCGAGGTTGTTGAGACATAATTTTCTTTTTCCGTACTCTTAATACCCGTTGTTGATATTGAATTATGGTTAGCTTCTGTGTATTTGTGGGGTTCATTATTTAGCGGTATTTCCACAAATCCGTCTGGTTCGTCTGGACTTGCAACTTCGTTAACATAACTGACCTAGAAAAACGAAAGGACACAATATTTCAGCCTTGGACATTCGGGTACTTTCGTCGTCTCAAAACTTTCTGGGTTAAAAATCTCCAAGGTTAAGTCTTCGCTTAGGTAGTGTTTCACAATAAGAAAATATTGAAGACATATCGAAGTTTGCAGCGAAGGCCGTTGTGATTTTATCATTTATTTAATGACCTAAATTCCGATTTACATTGCACACCTTTTGCCTAAAACTGTCGCATGCAACCTGCTTACAACTTGAGTTGTACTGTACTGACACTGTGCTGTACTGACACTGTACTGACACTTTTGACAAATGAAGGTTCAACAAATGAATAAACCTACCTTATTTTCCGTGTGCAAAGATCTCGTATGAGAAACCAAGTAGACAACTGGTTCTCCATTGCGCCCTTGTTGACTTGAATAAACCTGAATTGGATTTAGTAATGATTTCATTTGAGTAGAAATACTTATAAAGCAACAATTAATTTTGCAACATACGGTTATTAGGTCAAAGCAACCCCTAATAAAACTAACCTATATTTCGCTATAATGTTTATAATATCTCAGACGTGTAACGTGAGGGTGTCATATTCTCTAGAGCATCAAAAGGTTTCATTTAATGATACTAGTTTATGATTTTGTCTACCAGACATGTTTACCTGGCCGTTTGGGTCCTCCAGTAGTTTGATATAGGAAGCCATTACACCAGTAAAGTACGTCTAAAATACAAAACAATTTAAGAGACAATTTTTCTCTATGTCGTGTATTTGCAATGAAAAGTGTTCCAAACCGAAAATCTTTTGGCTTTCCTCTCAAAATTGCTTTGTTTTAGTTTTATTTTCTAGTTTATACAGTTTATACAGTTAGCTACCTTTTTAAATGCATATGCCGGTTGAGAAACTTATAGGACATAAAATAACAGTTATCAGTTACAATTATCAATGATGCTTTAACAATGACGCCCCATACTTACAGCGTTACAATGTTAAGATATCAACACAGACTGCTATAAATGAATGGAATCTTACCGAAGCACACAAATCAATTGTTATCATCACTGATGATATAGATGCTGTTAATATCTAAAGATCAGGAAATGAAACAATGTGTAATCTTCAATAACGATACCCTGGGTTCCACAGGCTTCAGAGAGTTTCCTAGTGAGGATTTAAAATATGCTAAACCTGGTTTGAAGAGTGGATGCTTTACTTACATGGTTCATTTCTACGGCGACATAGATAATAGCGGCAAAGACAAAGAAACATCTTACAATGTTCCATCTTACCATGAAGTTTACAAAGTCTTCTGACTGGTTTAAATGAAGGAAGTAGCAATGTGGTTAGTTGTCAGGCTAAGGACGCGTTTCTCCATTAATACACGAGAAGCGATACAACTGGTGGTAGTGATAGTGGTGATGATAAATGATGATGATGGTAGTGATAACGGTGATGGTTGTAAAGATTGTGGTGGTGGTGATGATGAATGATGATGATGATGAAGATCTGGTATGGTGGTGATGAGGTGATGAATGAAGTGATGGTGGTGGTGGTGATGATGATGATGATGATGATGATGATGATGATGATGATGATGATGATGATGATGATGATGATGATGATGATGATGATGATGATGATGATGATGATGATGATGATGATGATGAT